TCCTGAGAGAGGCTGTTAAAGTTACTGTCTCAGGAATCTCATCTCCCAGCAGGGGAACAGGGGGAAGACACAGTTGCCTCAGAAGCCTTTTGAAAAACTATTCACTAAAACAGGACGTAAATTGCTTTCCACATTCTGATTCTGAGACTTCAGTTTTGGCAGTCTTGTTGGTTGTGTCTGTTCTGAGACGTGATTTGGAGCACCCTTAAATCCATGAGACTCTCACTGTTGATGTATTTGTGTCTGACATCTGTCAGTATATACAGAACTTCTCATAGACAGGGTGTGTTTCATGCTGGCATCAGTCTGGCCCAAGGGAAAGCGACGGGACAAGTCTGAACTACCACAGTCATGGGACAACCAGCTCGATCACTGAAGTGTGCATTTATGTGCATAACAACATGTACATAAGCAGATTGGGTGGCACTTTTTGCAGGCTTGCTTGTTTGTTTATTTAGGCAGAAACGAAAAGAGAAGCGGCAGAAGAGAAAGCTCGAGCGCCAGTCCAAACTGAGCTCTGACAGCGACGGGCAGGACAGGAAGCGCGTGCGGAGGGACGTTGTTCCCAGCACACTTCGACTCATTGTGGACTGCAGCTTTGATGACCTGATGGTGCTAAAGGTAAAAGGAACTTGGCCATCACATACAAACGTTGAAAAGTTCTCCACTGACAGTGATGATGTGATGTCAGAGCACAAAAACCAGAGACCAGCTTGCAAAGGACAGTTAGCATGTTTCACATTGTGGTGACTCCCAGATCTGCTTACGTCAGTTACTGGATTTTTTTTAGGCTTTGGAATGTACCTTTATATAAGCTTGCCAAGGATTTAGTTTGCCTTCGTGGAGATGTGGTAAGTTGGTCTGATTCCAAAACCAGAAATGTAGAAACAGTTTGTACCACTTGTTCACCATGAAGTTAGATGCAGTTCTGCCTCAAAATGGTTTCACTAGAGGGGCTGCAAACACCACATCAAGTTTCTTTCTCTTTCAAAGTGGACCTGAGAGTCACAGCCTTATTAGTAAGTGTCTGTGGAAATGAGAATTTTGAGCATTTTGAGGATACTGAGCTTTTTCTGTCTGTCAGGTGAGAGGTAGTTGGGACAATAAGACACTATTCAGCCCATCTCCAAAATCTTAGAATGGATGAAAGTCTGGGTGAGATGATTGTGCGGTAGGTGAATCTGAGAAATGTCAGCACGATTCCCAGCCCCTGGTCAAGATGCTTGGTGTGGTGTTTTGAGATCAAACAGCTTTAACCCTAGTCGTGATGAGGAAGTCGTTCAGCTGCAGGCCCCCAGCTGTGAGAGTGCAGCCTTTGGTTTCTGAGGCAGAGCTCTCCCCTCTCCATGAGCTGAGCCCTCCTGCTGCTGCCAGGGACTGCGCTGCCTGCACGGCTGCTTGAATTCAAGCTGGTGTGAAACCCTTGTGTGCCTGCTTGTGCCATGTGGTGCAGAGCACGTTTAGCACTAATGGAAGCTGCTGCTGCTCGCCACAACATTTTGGGGAAGCTCCAGTTGGCCTTTTGGAACTTGGTTTCCTTAGGAGCTCTAAGCAGTGCCCCAGAGGACCCCCTTGATAGTTGTGGGGATGCTGACCAGTCAGTCCTGCTGAGCTGTGTCTTTGGTAGAACACGTTTCCTTCCTTGGTCAGGCAGAACCCCTGCTAGGCCTGGTACAACAGAGGAGCACTTCTGCAGGGGTTTGGGAAGGGTGGAACATTCTTGGTGAAGGCGGCTGTGGCCTTCAGCAGTAGAGTTAATTAGCTGCTTTCTCTTGCAATACTCTAGTAATAAAGTCTAGTTTACTTGAAATCCTTTGGAGGTATCAAAACATTCTCAAAGTACTACATGAATCAAAGCAGTATCATGATGTTTCCTTTTAAAATGGGAATCTGTTGCTTTTACAAAACTGCTTTTGGGGTGCTGAGAATAAAACTATGTAACATACCTTACAAAAAATATAATTGACTAAAAATTAAGTCTGATTTATTTTAACTAGTACTTGTTAACTTTTGTCCAAATTGCCAAGTCAAAGTGCCAAAGCTAGCCACTAAATTATTTTAATTGTTCTGGAGTTCAAGTTTGTTAAGCATGTTTAGTTTTCTTAAATAGAAACTGTATATTCTAAAGGATATCCTGTGGGTGAAGGACTGAGTATTGTCACAGTGATAAATCTGCTCAATTATTCAGATTAATTTTGAGTATGTTATTGCATATAATTAAATCCTGGTGATTTTTGTTTTGCTTGTCTCCTAGAAGAGTGCAAATCAAACACATGTGCAGAGGTGTGTAACTACACTTCTGTGGAAGATGTCTGTGCTCCCTTGTCAGCATAATCCCTCCACAGTGGCTGTTTTCCCTCTTGGTGTCTGATATCCACACTCTCTCAGCAGTCACTTTTGCCAGTTAAACACTTCCTTTTTCTCTCTTTATCTTGTGAATAGCTCACGGTAAAGCATTTTATGGTGGTCTGTCTGAAGGACTGTGTAAAACCAAATTGTGTTGTATACAGGACGTTAAGAAGCTCCACAAGCAGATTCAGAGATGTTATGCAGAAAACCGCAAAGCGTTTCATCCTGTGCAGGTAGGTTTGAACAGAGGGAACACTGCCTGCATTGCCAGGTGTAAGGCACGTGAGGCAGGCAGCTGCGTCCTGAGCAGTGGGAAATGTAGTAGAAAAAATACATTTAAGCTGCCTCTTTTTAATAAGAAAATTACTTCTGTTGCAATACATTAATTTAAAACCCACACGTTAAAAAAGTATGTTGAAAAAGTATGTGCGTGCAGATGAAGAGTGCCAGATACTGGCAGGCCATTAAGGTGCTATTGATACTCAGTCTGATCTGTGACATGTTTTAAAAAAAAAAAGTGACTGTAAGCATGTATTTGTCTTTTTGATGTGTCACTAACTGTATGAATATGGTCTTAGTACCACTTTCAGCTAAAAACCAGTTAACTTTTACCTAATAGTTAAGGGCAGAAAAAGTCTTGTACAGAGAAGAAACAGACTGGCATGTTAACATTTCAGTATTTTGTATGTCTTGTTTCTTCTCTTTGAAGTTTTACTTGACCAGCCATGGGGGACAGTTGAAGAGCAACATGAATGAAAATGACAAAGGATGGGTGAACTGGAAGGTGAATACTTGACTATTTCTGTAAAAAGAGGAAAAGAAGTCTTTATTATAGTTGCTAACTAGGTTCTTAGTTGTGAAGGACCTGTGCTTTTCCTACAGGGGTTCTTCTAAGACATTAGAGAAGTAGCATATTAGAAATAATGTGGTTCTTTGTGCTTTTAATTAATTTAACTTAAATAAGCCAAAGACTGCTTGTTATAAATCTAGATTTGATTTTTGTTTGGAAATCTCCACACACATCTGTTTTCACCTGTTTTTACTGAACAGATTCCATTCTCTGGTAGACCAAGCAAGACTACTTGATAAAGGCAGTTCTGACAGTCTTTTTTAGGTAGTCTTGACAGTACTCTTTTTTTTTTTTTTTTCTTGGAGAAAAATAAGACTTTGAAGTTGTGATACGATTCTTATGTGCACCTTCATTTCCATTGTGTTGCCTCTCAACACTGAAGTGTTCCTTAGAGAAGTAGCTTGTCTTGTGGTTAAACTCATGTTGGTTTTCCTTGTGTCTCCCTGTGAAACCTGTATTCCAACAGCTTCAAATGAAGAATGCTTTGCATAAGTAAAAACAGTTCTGCTTTCAGCCTGTCTCATGCAGTAGCTGCTTGGCAACCTGTCTAATCAAACAAATGGTGGGAAGTAAGCATTTGATTCTGTTTTCACTTTTTTTAGAAAGGTGGGCTTGAAAATTATCTGGATTCCTAGGAGAAATATGGTATCATTTGAAGAAAGTCAAAAGCACTTAAGGATTAGTAAAGTTCTTTTGGGGTTTCAGAAAATTTCCTGATGGTTTTTACAAGTCAGTGCTGTAGGGAGTGCATATTATTTATGCAGAAGTCAGCACTCTGTTACCTACCTAAATGTGAATGAGGGATGTGAAATGACTGCATACTATTGGATTTGGTTTTGCTGTTTCTATCTTGGGTCTGTAGAGCTTGCCCAGCAATTTGACAGTTGAATGTAACTTCTTTTAACTACCTTTTTTGGAGGATATCCAAATCAGAACAGAGCACTACAGTGAGCTAATAAAGAAGGAAGACCTGGTGTATCTTACCTCAGATTCCCCGGACATTCTCAGTGAGCTTGATGAGAAGAAGGCCTATGTGATTGGAGGACTGGTGGATCACAATCACCACAAGGTAAACTTCAGGTTCATTCCATTTCTTTACAGCATATTTGGGCGGGGCAGCTTATTTGACATTAATGCTGGATGTGTGTAAACTAACAAATAACAAGAGAACTTCAAAAAAGACTTACTTTAAAATTTTCAGGAAATGGTAAAAAAAAAAAATAAATTGCAGTGGTTGCAGTAGCATGTGTTCCAAAGTGTAGACATGCTGGGCTTTTTAGGATTTTATATTTTGAATTTAAATATAGGAATGGAATTACTAACACTGCTCAGCTTACTGAGGGCCGTATGTTCAGACAGAAGGGTTTTGTTTCTGTTCACACACTTGTGTGTGTGTGCACACGCTTGTATGGGCACATGCCCAAATATGGATGAAGAGCAGCACTTGGATCTCGGATGTCCTTTTTTAATAAATTTACTTGGCCAAGTAACACACGTGCCTCAGGGATCTCGTTCCATACCTGTACGTGGGATCGTGCTGTGTGGACCTGGAATGTCATAGAGAATGCAGCTGGGAAATTAAAGCACTGTTACTGCTTTTCTTCAAAGACACTCCTAATTTCTGGGGGCATGTCTAATATTTCAATATGATGCTAAAAAAAGGGATGGATCTTAAGCCTTACCAAATGATACTTCAGCGATAAGTCCACAGTCAAAGCCGAGGAGGAGCCTAAAGCAAATCCGTTATATAGTCATTATGGTATAAAGTGTTTACACAGTTTTAAAAGGTTTGTTGTTTTTTTTTTTTTCCCCATCTTAAGCACAGGATTTGCCAAGTTTAAAAAAGCAAACTAAATTTCTTTATCCTTTACTCTTCTGAAAAAGTTCGCAGTTACTGAAACCTGGGCAACTTAGTGCTGAAGTATAAACTCGCCTTTAAAACAGGCTATGGCTGACACGTGCTGGAGCTGCAGCTGTGTGGACAAGGTTTATCTGCAGTCCTTTTTGCCATATATCTCAGCGTGACAGGCGTTCAAAGTAGTAAGTTTTCCAAAGGTAGCCCTTGAGGCAGGTACTGTCTCACCAAGTTAATTTCCTTTTTGTAAACGCTTTCTAAAGCAGGATCCTGGCAGCACTGGCAAAACTCTTGCCGGAGAATGACACTTGCAGTAATCTGTATGGGCTGATTCTGGTGATTCTCAGTGCAGTTGCTTTGGTGTCTTTCCCACAGGGAATTACTTACAAGAAAGCTGTAGAGCAGGGAGTTAGTCATGCACAGCTCCCACTTGGAAACTTTGTCAAGATGAACAGTCGGAAAGTCTTAGCTGTCAATCATGGTAAGTTTTAAATCACAAAATAATGATTTTATTGTAGAATATTCCTGAGATATTCAGAATTTGAACCTTCAAAACTTGCACTGCAGAGCAGATAGCTAAATTTTATTTTATTATGTCAACATTTCTTGAATCTAGTTGCCTTTGGGATACAGTAATTGCCCTGACCTTTAAATGTTTTAGATATGATTAAATGTAAAGAATGGTGTCTTAGCCACTGAGAAGTGCACCTCCTGTTCTCTTCACTTGTCCCGTGAGTAATTTTGGCATTCTTACTGTCCTGGTCTTGTTTCCAGAGTTCACACGTGAGCAAAATGTTGGAAACTATCCCACCTACTTTATCTCAGGGAAGGATAAATGTTTGTGATGTGTTCACCTCTTTGGACAGCTTTGTTCAGCAGTAACTCCTCTGGTACCTGAAGAATCATTCGGTATCAGCAGTACTTCATGTGCTGAACTTTCATGACTGTATTCTTAGCTGGTTTCCTTGTTTGAATTGAAGCATACAGGTACTTAACCAAGCATTGAATCCCCCTCCCTTTAAAATTTGTTTTATTATTAGAGTATCCTTCAGTGTCATTAAATAAAAACACATGCAAAATGGATCCTACTCAGACCTTTATGAAAATTTTTGACATGGTGTCTAACTCTTTATTTTGCCCTGCTTCAGATTCTTTTATCTTACCTTGCTTTACTTCAAGTTTATTTTGTTATGTAGCACATTGCTCGATGGTAACTTTATTTTTCTTAAAATGCCATTGATTGATGAGGCATTTGCAAGATTTTACACATTTCATGATCTTTAAATACTGCTTTATATAGACAAGAATCAGACTTTGTTATTCATCAATACTTAGGCTCGCTGTAGCTTTCTTCTGGAGGTCTTCTGCAGTAATCTTACACTGACCTCTAGTGTCAGCATTGCTGGAGGCTGTCTTACATGTTTGAGCACTGGGTACATAAAGTGGATCACCTATATTGAGGCTTTCATTTAACTGCTTTATGTGCTTGTCTCTTGTGTCAGACTTTTAGGCACCTGATTTTACTGCAGTTTAATGGGCGAGATTTAATTTTGCATGAGCTTGTCTTCTCTTTGCCCTTCTAAAACAGTTTCAAGGTGCAGTTGAAAGGCTCTTAACACACAGACCTTTTTTTAAGGTAAAGATTCTACTGTACCACTATTATGCTTAAGGTTTTGGGTAAGGAAAATAAACACCACCACCAAAAGTAGAGATACCTTTCACAGTTTTAACTAAAGCTCTGATATATATTGTTAACCCTAATAGCCTACAACCTAAATCCAAAAAGTCAGCTTTCAAGGGAGTAAGGTGGACAGGAATCAAGCATGAGTAAGATGGTCAGAATCAAGCTGCCTCTTAAATCTCACATTGTAAATTTTGTGTAGGTGAAAAGGATATTTGCACTGAGGTTTTTGTAGTTTGCTGTGAGCACATCCACTTCGCTGCTTGGTGGAACTGTGTAATTGCTCACCCTTTTTCTTCTGATTTGGTCATTCTGGCCTCTGGGTTTCCACTCCTGGTGTGGAAGTTGAAGCTAGCAGAGTACAGTATGGGAGCGTCCAGATGAGACTGTAGGACCTGCCTAGTCCCTGTGGAACTACTTTTGATAGCTGTGAATTTGGAAAGTCCTGTAGAAGAAGATATTTTTTCTGAACTGCCTTGCCAGGCTTTGGAAATGCTTTAATTAAATGGGCCCTCTGGTGGTGGGAGATTGATGGTGTCTTTAACAAGCTTAATTTATAATCCTTCTGTTTTGGGATGGAGTCTACGTATATTTAAACAGGGAATTCAGTGTTGGCATTGTCATGTTAAAATTGCATGAGGAGCACATGTATACATGAAATATTTGATGCTAGAAAACTGACACCATGTAAGATGAAGCTTCAATTTTTAACTTAGTCAATTGGGAATTATAAAACTTGGAAGACTGGAGATCTGTGTAAAACACTGTATTGCAAAGCACACCTGCAAGTACAGTATGCAAGTATATATGGCATTGTTTAGTCTGGAGAAGAGGAGGCTGAGGGGAGGCCTTATTGCTCTACACAGCTACCTGAAAGGAGGTTGGAGTGTGATGGGCACTGATCTCTTCTCACAAGTAATAGGCAATAGGATGAGAGGAAATGGGTTTAAATTGCACCAGGGGAGGTTTAGATTGGATGCTAGGAATAGTTTCTTTACTGAGAGAGTATTGAGGCATTGGAACAGGCTGCTCAGGGAGGTGGTGGAGTCACGATCTCTGGAGGTGAAGATGTGGCACTTCAGAACATGGTTTTATTGGTCATGGTAGTGTTGGGTCAAAGGTTGGACTTGATGATCTTAGAGGTCTTTTCCAGCCATAATGATTCTGATTCTATAGCTGAGTTTGTTTGCCTTTCTTTGGATTTGTATCCCAAGGCTGATGCTTTTGTGGTCTATGTGAAAGGACGAAATTGCTTCATTTCAGTCTGCAGGGATCGATTCTATGATTCTATAGCTGAGTTTGTTTGCCTCTCTTTGGGTTTGTATCCCAAGGCTGATGCTTTGTGGTCTATGTTAAAGGACAAAATTGCTTCATTTCAGTCTGCAGGGATGTCTGCTAACTGTTCCCACTGCCTCTTTCTGGCCTTGCTATTTCTTGTTGTTGCCATTGCAGCCCATCAGTGAAGCTTCTATTCTCCTGTGGAAACCACTGTCTTTCCATCATTTCTGTTTGTTCTGTGCAGATAAAGAAGTTACAAAGCAAGGGAGAGGAAATGTGTTCTTATACTCTTCTTGTCTCTTAAGCCACCATTTTTGCCACAAATGCTTTCTGCACTAGCTTACAGTGATATTAACATAGTCCTTAGAGAGCTCGTTCCTTAACAGTATGTTTTAGGTGAATAGCCTGCTTAGTAAAATGGCCAGCTCTTCAATACCAGTGTCACAGAGAGCAGCTGCCTGTCCAGTAAACCTGGGTCCAGGAAACCTCTAGTAAATGTGACAGTTTTCTGTAACTTGACTCGCAGTGAGTGTGAAATCCTTGCTGCCCCTCCCCTTCTGAACGCCTGCCTAACTTTCTGTAAGGCTTTTCCCCACCCCCCGCAGCTCTTTTGATCCCTTTCTCGATGCCAAGCGACAGCATATGAGAACACTTGTGCTGGGTTCATTCTTTGAAGTCAGCATTCTCCTGTGGTGTTAGCACTATTCCTGTAGCCCCAAGCCTGAAGAGCCACCCTCTGTCCCAGATTTGTCATCCAAGTCTGGCTGGCTTACCGGCCGTGGAGCCTCCTCCTGCCCTCCCTGCTGCTGCCAAGCCACGGTCCATGTTGGGAGGCTTTTTGGGCAGCCTGGGGTTTTTCTAAGTAAGAATTTACTGATGAATTTTGTGTATAATGCAATTTAGAGCCATTGTCAGTCAGGGAAAGTTTGGGGAGCTGCAACAGGAGGAGTAGGGGTGTGGCTCTGTGGATAGTGTAACAGAAACAGCAAGAAAAGGTCACAGAATTGGATACTAATAGGGTTTTTGACATAAACATGGAAATGAAAGAGAAAGCTAACTAAGCTAACGTTTTAGGAAGACTTTGGGCTGTCCATGTGTCAGGAAGGGGACAAAGTAATTGTTAAAGTACATCCACAGCAGGATTCCTGTCAGACATGGGAGAGCGTTAGTGCCTGGATAGACGGCACCTGTGAGACCTGAAGTACTGTGGGGACATTTCTTTCTGTCCCTGAGAGAAATTAATTCAGACTGGAGCTGCTGCAGAAA